CTATAAGAGTTTTAACACACTCACGACACAGGTCACACTTGGCATGTCAACTGGTAAGATCAATCGGTTTAAAGCAGCGCCCCCAAATCTGGAAGCGTCTGAGAGCGTCTGAGATCTTGACCCACGCCCATTCAGCTGTGGATGAATCTCCGCCATGAACCGTCATAAACCTAACAATGTTCCTATCTGTAATTATAAACAGTTTCAACCCAGCAGTTCACCTTGCGTTAGACCAAGTTGCCAATCGTTTTGGGACGCCACAGTCTAGCCCGAATGATTTTAGGCAACCGTGATCCATTATCCATAACATATGTTTATATATATATATTGTATATATGAATATGTATATGTATATATATATATTATGATTTGTGCTGGATTCGTACACAAACTGTCAACCGTTTTTCGGAATCGTCCTTTAATTCCAGGATGGTTCTAGCAAAGGCCTCCAATTATGCCTATTGGTTGGAAAGCAGTTACCTGTTACAAGTACCAAGCCTTTAGCCAACTCAGAGTGTCCATCAATGATACTTATGGGACTTATAGGTCAAGCATGTGAAAGGAAATTACATGAAAATAACATGTGCACACGTTTCATCCATCCCAGTACACACGAAATTTGCATAAATTTACATAGTACAATTTCAGATGGGAAGGAAATGAAAGGATCCCTGGTTGGTGATTTCACCCCTCTGAAAAATATGAAAGTCAGTTGGGATTATTATTCCCAATATATGGAAAAAAAACATGTTCCAAACCACCAACAAGTGACAAGTGCCCCCAAAATGAACCTCAACCGAAAGGTCTTCCGGTTGGGGTTGAATTTTTCATTCCAGAGACCTCCATGGAACCCCACATGGCCCACCAAATGACCCAACATAGGCCCAACATAGACCCAAAACGGCCCAACATTGGTCCGACATAGCCCTTCAAGTGCCCCCAAAATGAACCTCAACCGAAAGGTCTTCCGGTTGGGGTTGAATTTTTCATTCCAGAGACCTCCATGGAACCCCACATAGCCCACCAAATAACCCAACATAGGCCCAACATAGACCCAAAACGGCCCAACATTGGTCCGACATAGCCCTTCAAGTGCCCCCAAAATGAACCTCAACCGAAAGGTCTTCCGGTTGGGGTTGAATTTTTCATTCCAGAGACCTCCATGGAACCCCACATAGCCCACCAAATGACCCAACATAGGCCCAACATAGACCCAAAACGGCCCAACATTGGTCCGACATGGCCCTTCAAGTGCCCCCAAAATGAACCTCAACCGAAAGGTCTTCCGGTTGGGGTTGAATTTTTCATTCCAGAGACGTCCATGGAACCCCACATAGCCCACCAAATGACCCAACATAGGCCCAACATAGACCCAAAACGGCCCAACATTGGTCCGACATAGCCCTTCAAGTGCCCCCAAAATGAACCTCGACCGAAAGGTCTTCCGGTTGGGGTTGAATTTTTCATTCCAGGGACCTCCATGGAACCCCACAGGCCTCACCAGCAACAAGCAACAGACCGGCCACCAAAGCCGCCCTTAGATCCCCAATGAATTCCCCCCTCGCCAACAGCCCCGAGCGAAAACTGCAGGCTCACTATCCACCATCCCGACCCGGAAACCCGAAGACATGAGGGGTGCAAAAGCAAACGGCGAGGACGCCTCAATGGTCACCTGGGAAACAGCAACCGCACCAAACGAACCAACGCGCCTCGATCTCGACCCGCCACACCTCCAAGCCCCGAGCCGAAAAAACCATGCCTCCTAACTCAGCAAGCGCCCAAGCTTTAATCGTCCCCTCGGCTCGGCCCGCGCGCGGAACCGACCCCCGTTTTGCGCCCCAAAAACGCGCGCGAACCTAGTTGGATAAACAAATATATTTTTTTAAGCATGGACACCCACCGAGTAGGTTTTGAGTCAGAATGGAATTGAAGTATGTGATTTTTGCACATGACAAACTTTGGCCATGCCATATCTTCCTGTTTTCAAAAAACGTGTTTTTAGCTATCAATTTGTTCAAGTCATAAGTCCGTACACGTTACCCTTACTCAGCGAGTGGCTGAACTTTATTTTTTTCTCTCATCGGGTACGCGCCGCGCGCACCAAAAAAGAAGGCTGTTTCTATGTAGTTCTGGTGCGCGCGCGCGGCGCGGACCCGACCAAGAAAAAAAATGTAATCTTTTTTGGGTATTTTTTTTTGGGAGGGGTTTCCATTGAGAAAGTACCCTTTCTCTTACGATTTGGCATCGGTTGATTTCGATTGCATTGTTAAGTTGGAATTACTGGTTGATAGCTAGTTGCCAAAAAATTGATTGGATTCATTATAACCAAACTGAAACCTAATGATCATACAGTATCCTTTAAACTTGTAGATATAATCAGCAGTTTTTACACGAAATGCATGTTTTTTTTACAATTGTTGTTCACATATCCACTTTACCTGAAAAGAACATCTAGCTACCCGTCACCAGTCAGACATCTAAAGTGTATTGGGGCTGCGGTTTTGGCCGTAGGCCTTGATGCGGTACAGGCCGTGGACTACACAAGTGACCCACTTGAACCAAAAAACAGTTCATGTTATCTTTCAGGCTATGGTTTGCCGAAAAAAACATAAATGAACTTGAACCAAACTTCAAACATTTGATAATGACGCTTGCTGTCGACCCATCCGGACTCCGGACCCATCCGCTTTTAAAACTCCGAAGCACCAACCACAAACTTACAGGCTCTAGTACTTTGGCCTGAAGATTCATGGTTAGACTCCAGACTCCAAACAAACTGATAGCCCGACCAAGTGACGTTGTGAGTTCGTGGGTGCCGAGATTGTCCAGCCCATTGATCGCTGCAGCATAGTTGGTTACCTCACCCCAGTTTGCAAACTGTTGGCACACCTAATTTGTTCCAAAACAATGACTTGAAGAAAGCAACCAACTCCAAATGCAAATTGGCCCCAGTTTTCTACCAAGTTCATCCTCTTTTGAGGTGTTCTTCAAAGGCAAGGCTAGGGTTCCTCTGAATCTTAAGAACCTTTTCCGCATAACCCTGGAGCCTTTCTCACCCATACAGTGGCACCACAACCCCACATAAGCCCAGACAGTGAGAGTCATGGATTGTGAACCGTGACTAACTATTATTGTTCGGTTGGCCCAATGGCAGTCTTGTTCTTTCAAAACAGCACCAGTACCACGCACCACGGCACCACATATCGTTTACGAATTTCAGCTCAACAACCCTGGTGATGTATACCCAGTATGTTTTTACTGGGCATTTCATAATGCTCAAGCACTATAAAATGCCAAGGGGGACATGTTGTGAATATGTTGCGGTCATTTCGCACAAATATTTCTCTATAAAATGCTTGGGTGATCTTCTATGAATTGCCACATCCAGGTCACTAAAAAACATTCATTCACTATAAAATGCGTCCGTCCTGGTGACGCCGAAGAAGGAGAGACCAGGTCAAGGCACTATGATTTGGCAACATCCATGTTCAGATTACATAGGCAAAAACTCGGTCGAAAAAAATTGGAGCCAAAAGACTTCCTCTATGAAATGCCTCCTGTCCAACTTACATACACAGAAAAACCGACTCAGACTTCGTCTATGAGATGCCTCCTGGACACCCATCAAGATATCTAATGGCGAGCGATTCATCAATGCAAAATCTCTATGAAATGCATCATCCAGAACGTCCCTTTTTTTGCATCTGGAGGAGGCGCTTTATATAACTTATGGTCACTATAAAATGATACCTGTTTTTCATGGAATGCGCATTTCATAGAGGTCAAAACATGAGGCATTCTATAGTATTGGTCACCAGGGTTAGCTCAACATACAAGGTTCATGCGTGACCCTAAGCATGACAAAACAAGAATCCAAACTCCATCATGCAAGTTTTTTCCATGTTTCACAAAAAAACGCTTGAAAATCCAAAACCTCAAATCTCAATACTCAATACATCTCAATACTATGTTCCCACCCCCGGTGAACCCCATGTCTGATGTACTTGATGAAATTGACAATTTGATGACTTTTGTTCAATGTCAGTCTGTCAGTAAAAGTTTGGAAAGTTCAGATTCTTCAGGCTCCCCCAAATTTTTGGGAACTTTGGAAATACAACCAAATTGCGGCAATTGTGCGTCCAATGATTTCTGGCCTGTATTTAAGAACAAGGATTCTCGATTCAACAGGCACCATCACCAATATAGAATCGAATCATTCAATTTATCCTAGCCTAAAAGTTAGCACTGTTCCTCCATGGGTGATGGTATAAAGAATCCTACACAGCACAAAACCATGCAAACTGCCCATGGTTGTCCAAGGAGCGTCATTGTCAGATCCATGTCTTGACACCAGCCCATACAAGTTCTCAAGGCTCTTGCGGATCTTGAGGATCTCGGCGCATTCAGGTGAGTGAATCCCAGACCTACGCCAGTGACAATGGATATGCCAAACAACAATCACATCAAGTCTTGCCATGTCATACCAACTCTGCTGAAATCAACAAATCAAATTATCAGACATGCTTCATACCATCCTGACGCCCCCCTGCGCACGCATTACCCAATGATCAACAACCATCTGTCCCCATATAGCCGCACATAGCCTGATCGTAAAGCTCTGGAGGCAGAGCACCCATGGCAGTGCCGCAGAAATACAGCTTCGCATTTCGTAGAAAACCAGACAGTGAATGAGCTCAAATACTTTAATGAATTTGTGTTTAGAATTAGGTATCTTAGACGGTCTATTTAAGAATCTATTTGTCTTGTTTTGTTCATTTGCAACTTGCCGATTTCATCAGATGAAGTGTATCTGTGTCGCTTCACATAGGCTCACCGGTGCAGCCCCCTTACAACTTCAAATGTCAGATGTCAAAATTGCACCAACTCAAACTTTTCAAATGTAAAACCCACTGGGATTTGAAGCTGGTTTGAACACTTGTACTGGTTGGCAAAGTTTGCAACTGTGTTTTGGCATGTTTTGTTTTTTCTCCGCCCGCCGCATGGATCGCCAAGGTGGCTGCAAAGCCCCACCAGGATCACCCAAGTTCATGCTACATGCATTTTTTGATGTGGATATGGCCTGCAGTCGGCCAGAACGAGTGACCCACAATTCAAACCTGAAAAAACACAAACCTCCCAGTCTCAATCCTTGAAAAACAGTGGTGGCAACTCCAAAACCTTTAGCGCGCAAGAAAAACCTTAGCACCAAATCTCGCGAAAAAAACCAATTATCATTAATGATTATGATTTGATATGGTGATTGGTTTGAAATTACCAATGATGCTGATGATACAAATCAATATGAATCTGAATCGAATCGAATAATCGAATATGAATAATAATATGACGACTTATGACTTGACTCATTTATGAAAATGATCTGAATCAGAGTCAGAGTCATAGGCATATGCATAAGCTCATAGGTCATAGTCTGAGCCTGAGTCATAGTCACATCATCACATGAATCCAATTTCAATTGAATTGAAAATTGCAAAGCCTGCAGAATGCGTAGCCCCTGCACACAATGCGCATACTTCTGGTGCGCTGTACCGTTACCCAAACCACAGACATGTACCGCTCCCGTTTCCAAAGCACGTACCTACACGCCGTAGCCGTACCGCACCCGTACCCAAAGCACACGTACCTACATACCGTAGCCGTACCGCACCTGTACCCAAAGCACCTACCTACGTACTGTACCCGTACCGAAGAGCACGTACCTACATACCGTACCCGTACCCAAGAGCACGCACCTGACCCCCCCAGATATGTATACCGTACCCCCCCGTGATGCTCAGATAGAAAACCTTGATTTCATAACTCTTAAAAATTAATAACATAAACACATGTAAACAAATATATATATATATATGATATATGTATATAATATATATATAATATAATATATATATATATATACATATTATATAAACATATACATATTATATAAACATATATGAAATCAATATAGAAAAGTTCTTAAAGTAATTTCAGCCTCTCATCGCTTTCCCATGCACTTTTTTGTGCACGTGTGTGTGTGTGTTCTTTTTTGATCGGAGATTGCCTGTTAAGCGCTATGTTTCAGGTCAGTAACTTCTACTGCGTTTCTGTGCAGTTTTGGTTCACTGGTTGCTAGACATCACCGGATTGAAGGATACCGTAATTGCAGTGCCCTTTCAGAATTTTTGTTCGAAAAGCATTGGTGAGCCAGAGCCTTTGTGAATCAAGCATTTTGATGCTTCTGGCAGGCGGAAGATGTGTGCTCTGTCTTTGATGGAGCTAGCTTTCAGGACAGCAAGGGCTGGCACGGGGTAGGGACAGGCCTCAATGCATCAAATGCATCAACTCTGTCCGAGGAAGCCCAAGAAACAACGGCGCTTGAACTTTGGGGAGATTGCCCAGCATTGCCGTGTCGGCGCCAGCGAGGTGGAGCGGCTGTTTGCACAGCTGGCAGATTGTGTCTCCATTTTTTGTCACGACCAGAAAGGTCGTTCGAGTCGTTCGAGTCGTTCGAGTCGTTCAAGTAGCAGTTGCATCTTGGTTGTTGTGACTGTTGTGGTGGAATTTATTCTAGAAAGCTACCATCGGCTAAACAACATCGATTTCGTGAGTATTTGAGAACGACAGAAGGGAAAAAAACACAGTTACTGAAAAATGCAGTTTCTTCAAGATTTGAATAATGCGCTTTGGCGCAGAGCATTGCATTGGTAATAGGTGGATAAAGTTGGCTCGAATTGTGGCTTGTCTGAAAGTTGCACAATGGATCAGAAAAGCAGAGGGTCTGAAGTCTGAAGTATGTTTTGCTTTGGAGTACAGCAGGATACTACAGAGGCATTGGTACAGAGCAAGTCTCCTGGAAAACAGACTTGTATTCATGACATCTGTAGAAGATCACATTTCTGCCCAGTAGAATGAGAAATCATAATATTACGTTGGCTGCTATAGTAAGCAATCTGGAGCCAGAGATCAGAAGCACAGCGAACCGCTGAGATGGCAAGCAAAAAGAGCTGTGTGCCTTAGACCAACTATGTTGTGTTTAGGTGGTTGTCATTCAAGAACTACAACTCAGAAAAATAAAGAAAAAGCACAATCTAGAGAATAAAATAGAATAAATTATTGAATCAATTCTAGAATGATCGTTTTGTGTGCTATGCACAATGCTTTGGATTCTCGCCTGGGTCCTCAGAGGACACGCAGAATTGACAGAGTTGTGAAGTTGCCTAACGAGTGGCCTCAAGAAACGAGTGGCCCCAATGTACATTGCGTATACATTGCGTTCACTGGACTGATCTGGACTGAAAGACCCTCAGACTTTCCAAAGGTTAGCAAATGGTTATCGAACAATTGTGTCAGATGTTTGTCTCTGTCAAGAAGGACTTCCTCTTACATAAATCTCCATGTTCCTGATTTGAGAGACTTAGTGTTAGCCTCCTTTTGATGCTGACAATTGCCACTTCTGCCCATGTAAAATATCGAAACAAATTACAATTATATACGTGCAGACAGGGCTGGATTGGACGTGCTAGGATTTATTAGACTGATTGAAGCAAGAACTTATGTGTTCAACTTCTTCGTGCATTTGCAGATGAACAGTTTGCAAGCCACGGGAGTTGACAGCACAGAGCGAGAGAGAGAGAGAGAGGAAGAACTTAGTACCTGCTTTGCACGATTTCGCGCCCCAGGCGCTTTGTGCAACCTTTGGTGGTGCAGAGGAAGCGCTGAAGGCTTTGAATCCAATTTTTTGGCATTTTGCGATGGAGCTTGAAATTGACTCTGTATGGTACACTGATGTTCAGCATTTGATCAAGTTGTCACTCTGCACAAGTGAAAGGAACTTATGGAAAAAAAGAAAGCGCGTCAATGATCTGGTTGACTTGAGGTATTGCGAAGTATAGAGATCAAGTGTCCTCAATCAAGGTGTCGAACAATCGGTGCCCAAAAGACATGTCGGCCGCACATCCTCAGATCAAGATGGCTCCGAGAGCGTGGTCACTGACAATGTCTCTACGCAAATTTCTGTTGGAGAAATGCTTGCTTTGTAGGTCAGCTTACTGGCAGACAAGCCCCATACTCAGATGAGCACTGAACCCTAAAGGATCAGGTTTTTGAGGAACTTGTTTTCCATCTATGTATTGCAGATCAAGGCCAAAGATATGGTCCATGGAACCCCATCGATTTCTGCCTTTGTTTAGGTGCCCAATTTGAACCCCAAAGGAGGTGTTCATTTCCATTGCCACCAAGGCAGTACCTCTCAAATGCAGGCCATGCGAATCCATGGGATCCCGACACACGTCGAGGAATGGCTAGAACAACACTACTTGAGTTGACACTTTTTAGAGGGCAACAAGTTGGCAGGGTAGTGTCTTGACTACCCCCCGAACAAAAACTAGAATCTTGCCTGTTTCCGCTTACACCGAAGGCTAATGGAATTCAGGCATCCAATCTTTCATTGTCCGCATAGTCAGACGTAGACCTACACTCAATTGTACTAGCATAACGCTCGGGATGCTTCGTCGGAGCCAACGTTCGCGCTCGATGCAACAGAATGTGGTTGTTGGATGTTGTTGGTAAGGGACTTTGTCAATCCTCAATCTTTGTGTCCACCTCCAGACACGCGGCGAGGCGATCCAAAAGCACCAGATGTGCTCTACCCCTGGCGCAGGGCTTTGTATTGCTCGGCGTTGGATCTCGTAGTGATACTGGAATCAATGGTGAGTACTGGTGGGTGTGGACAACCAAGTGCTGCTGGGCTGTGGGACCTGATTTTCGTTGCGTAAGTTAGCTGGTAAGTTCCATGGGTCAGCTGATAAAATCAAAAGTTCCCAAAGTCTGACAAATATCAACGTCACCGCTGCATGCACACCCAATTTCACCCATCTCAATGTGGCTATGCAAGGCCTATCAGGGATTTGGCAGAAGAAGTGCGGAAGCATGAGGCGTTGAAACTCAGATTGGGAAGACCTTGTACTGTACATGCCATGTCACATCATGTCACCAACATTCACCATAAATTTCCAGGGAGCTATTGCAGAGACTGACAAAGGGGTCACATGCCCCTGGTGCGGATCAGCGCAGGGATACGTGGCTTTCATGGCCGTCATGGCCGTCATGGCTCAAGTTTGGAAAAGGATTGCCTTGGCGGATCGCTTGAACTCAACGAACTCAGCTTCTTTGCAGCCATGCCTCGCGGAGTCTCCAGTTATGGCACAAACAGCCAGGGCAATAGCTACACCTCATACTCCGATGGGTCCTACAGCTACAGCAACAGCTACAATTCCAATGGATCATCTCAGAGTTCAAGCTACTACTACTCCAACACAGGCAGCGGCCATGGATTCTACTCATCCAAATCGGACTCCTCCAGTGGTCAGTACTCATCCCACACGAACTACGGCAACGGAACGACGACCACCAGGAGTAAGTAGACAAGAGCTGTGAAGGGGGGTTGCCCAGCCTGCTCAGAAGTACAGGCTGTTTGGCTTTGGGTCCTTGGGTTCATTGCAGGGGAATGCAGTGAACTTGTAGTTCCAGCATGTGCATCATCATGATGCGCTGAAAATGTAGGTTGAAAGATATGGAGAAAAGGGACCAAAACCAGCAGCTAGCCAGCCAGCCACCCTTTTGGGTAGAGTTGCGGGCATTGCCAATCTTGGCTTGCCGTGTCATTTTATTCACCGTTCGGGCCTTTCGGAAATTTGCAACAGCGGGATTGTAAGACTTGAAGACATTGCAATTTTGACGACAGTCTAGAGTGGAGAAGACATTGAAGTCTTTGTGAGGTTTGTGAAAGCAATGGATTTACAATTACAATTCCACCAGGTTTCAAAGTATTTATGTATGTAGCCACATGATACAGTATGCCACATTCTGCCTTGCCTTATTAGCTATGCCACATACAACAACTATACGTGTGGGTCACATGTTTGCTTAACCCAAGTGACAAAAACAGATTCATCCCTGCCAGGCGGGAAGCAACACTATTGCCTTGAGAGATGGACCGACTGCATCCGACTGCCAGAGTTTAAGTTTCAATTCGCATTCCCAAACTGTACTGCCAGACCATGCTAAACCATGCTAAACCAACATTCTGCAGCCGCATGCTCGCACTGGTAGGACTGGAATTCCTCATCGAGGCCAGTGCTTCTGCACTCCCTGAAGCCACAGACTTGGATCTTGGATAGCGACAGTTTTGTGGGAAACTTTCCAAACAGTTTTGGCCTTGCTGAAGTGGGTATGACAATACCATTGTTGCATATTGATTATTCTTGTGTGTATCAGGATTGGTTTTGGACAGCATCGACCATGCAATATGTGGGTTAGTTCTACGACTCTGCGAAGCTGCTTTGGTAGAAACAACCCAAATCTGAACAACAGATGATACAAGATGACAAGATATGACAAGTGTATTAACATAGTATGCTTATATTACATATAGAGTCCCATGTGTTTACTGTTCTTCCGGTTTTCTTTGAAACAATCCTTTAACAACGGTGGCTGGTACTGCCAAGGCCACCCAAGTGGCTGTCTTTGTCGGCCTTTTTAGCGCCGCCAACACTGGCAGCGAGGCTGGCCATGAAACCAATATAGATCAAAAGAGTATGAAATAGTGATTGATAGTGTATAATGACGTATAATGAATGATAATTGTACTATTACTATACGTTATTCTACATTATCTCGCTGAGAAGTGTTTCAAGTCCTGCTGTTTGGGTTTGTTTCTGTTCATTGAATGCTGATGACATTGAATGTGTATTGATTGTCTATCCATCATGTGTCTATTGGATACATGCATACAAATTCCGTGGAGTTATACAATATCCTACACTCATGTTGGTTGCACATAGAACCAACATTAATCATACGTGTATATATATGATATGTAAATGTAATATACATAGCATATACACATACATCAGCATGCCAGCTACCATGTTGACCAACATTGATCACAGTCTTTATCTTGTATTGTATAATATTGTATACATTATCATCTATATACTATACGGATCTGTACGGACTATACGTGATTTGTAGAGGCCATTCTTCCAGGCCAGAGTGGAGGAATGGATGGTGGGTGGCGGCACGTGGACGGCTCATTGCAGCTTCGTTTCTGTGAGGCTTGCACGGGTCAGAAACATATATCACATATATAGTTCATATATACATATATGAACTGGTTCTAGATAGACACAATGTAAAAAGAAGACATGTGATGGTTTTCCGTTTGATTTGAATGAAGAAGCTTTTGGAAATTTCGATTGTTTGACTGTTCGTCATATTTCGTATTTTTGGGAGATGCTGAGGCCACCAAAGCACAATCCTTTGCGGCTTTGGACTATGTTTACTCATCAGTACACAGACTTTGGACTGGTGACCTAGATCGGCCCGGACGTGTCATTAACTCCGAGTGTCAGATGTGACCTGGTCAGATTGCACATCGAACTGTCAACATAATAATCTTAATATAACTCAAATGACTGTATTTAAATTCTACATATATATATAATATATATATATACATATATGCACTTATTATATGACTATGACACGGTGCGACACGGTGCTGCGACCTTTAAGCAGATGTTTTGATTTTGGCAAAACCAAGGTCAGCTTAAGAATAGTTCGACCAGTTTACTTACTTTGACCAAATTGGATTTTACCACCACCACAACCATCCAAATGTCTTAGTGCTATTTTGGATATGTTGTATTGTAAACTAGCCCTGCAGGTAGACTGTCTCTGTTGGGGAACAACATGTTTTACTTGCTGCACAGCAGTATATAGCAGTGTTTATCAATGGGGCCATGTGGGGCCAACCTTATCTTCTAATCTTGCCAATTGTGAGCGCTTCCCAATGGAAAACACTATTTTCACATATAATATATATATATATCATATTTGCTCTCTGTTTGGCTAGTGCACAAGCCTTCCCTTCCAGGTATTTAAAGACCATGGCAGCAATTTGAGGGGTTTGCCTGCTATCCCAAGGTGGTGTTGTGCAGCCGGATGAGTCTGCCCAGCGTGTGTTGCGGTTTTGCCTCATGCCACGTAAGTTTGCAACGCGAGCAGCTGCATCAACCAATCGGTGGGATGTAGAGCAAAAGTCTTCAAGAGTGACAGTTCCAACATGTTCCAACATGTTCCAACATGTTCCAACATGCTCCAACATGCTCCAACATGTTCCAACAATACATTCGAAAAATAGTTTCAGAATCGCTGACTAGTCAATGGAACCATTCTATAAACTGCTGATATGGTCTCGCATGGCTTGTCTACTGAAGATTGTCAGATTGGGAGACTCCTGCTTCGGGGAGGCCTGTCGTGGCATGCGTTGAATTTGTTTTACCTTGTACCTGCACTGAGACCATCATTGCAACTACAGTTTCTGTGTGAATCACCAACTGCAGTCATGATGTGGATTTCATTCATGACTTGCAATTTCAGTGTTCTAAATTGTGATTGTTTAGCTTGATCTCGGACTGACCTTGTAAATCCAAGGCTACGGTAGGCCATTGATGGCCGTTGTAAACCCACTGTGGAGATGGCTCCCTGACATTTGACCAGGCATGGCGGGCAGAGTTCTGTGCCAGGGTTTGGACCTGCTTGAGACCTAGCCAGAGAGAATCGAAGATAACACACGCATCGGAAAATGTTCCTGTTCTATCAAGAGTCTGGAATTACGGAATTGTCACTAGACAAAGTGTCATTTAATATATATATATGTTTAATTCATTTGCTTCTGAGAAGCGTGCAGTTGATTCTCCAGTCAGTGATTCATTGACGATTGACCTGGCAAACCCCAAGCTCGGACATAGTTTGTTTATGTTTGTTTTATTGTCCTTTTGGCAGATGAGATAGTAAGTACTTCAGGACCAGGTTGATGAATGATAGGAATGTGTGGCGATCACTTTAAGAGTTGAAAGAACTGGGCGTCACAGCCTCACGGTTTTGCAGCACCAAGGTTTTCGATCTAGAGGACATGAGGGAGGAGGTGGACGTTGGCGAGTGGCAGTGCGCATCTCAGCTTGTCTGCTGGACCAAATGAAACGGAATGATGTGCAAACAGACGCCATCGACATCATCCGGCGCTCAATGAGATATGTTCTTTTCATTGAAGGATCTTAGATGATCTTAGCCATTTGCTCAGTTTGTTCAGTTTATGCAGTGAAGGCAGCGGTTCGCTTTGCTGCTGGCTACCGCTTGGAGGTGGGACACGGTGTGATCCCCTGGGGTCTCCACAACAAACTAGCCATGTCACCTGAGCAGCATGAAATATGAAGAGAGTTTAGCTTCGGGTGAAGAGAGGCTTCGGGTTCAGGGGAAGCTTTTGCGAAAGCACCACGGACGAAAGCGTGGCGAAAGCGTGGCGAATACATATCACAGATACGCGTAGGCGGAGAAATACTGTAGCCACTGATTCTTGACACCTATGCCGATGTATTACATGCAGTTTTCGTCATGCCGCGTGGTAGGTATCATGTTTTAATTTGAGATCTCATTTCTCCCAACTTTTGAGAGAGAACATGACCTCTTAAAAACTTGTCGAAAATCCGGGAAAGCCTGGCGAAAGCTCTGCAGCCAACTACTCCTTTGCGCAATGGTGTTGTGCCGCAGTTCATTGCCTGAGATGACTCTGTGGGTGCTATGAATAAAAGGAACAAGTGAACAGGTCTCAGCCGTCCCAGCTTGGACCAAAGATCGTTTGCCAGCGTTCACCCATTCCCAGCATAGCTATCAAACACCTCTGAGATTGATAGGTTGGTGACTACATTTCATAGATTTTCCAGGACACAGGTTGAACCCATTTGAACCCCTAACAAAATCTAACAAATATCAAAAGATTCAGATTGACTCCGCGATCCGAAAGACTTTGAGAGGCTTACCTTGGGCCTCCCTTGCCATCCTGCAAAGAGTATCTCTCAGATGAGGCTGGGTTTCCAGCCTGGATTTGAATGCCTGGCTAATTTACTAATTGGTGATTTATGAACAGGACCACCAGAGAATGCACAGAAACGAAGAGCCCCTAAAGAATGCTTTGTCAAGTGTGAACGGTTCATCCGGCTGTTACACATTTTTTGGCAGAAACGGGAAAATCCTGGAGAAAGGACAATCCCTTGCTTGCAATACTGTATATAGCTTAAAACTTAGAGAACGGGAACGAAGGTGAAACGAACGCGTTTGAATGCAGTCTGAGGTGCAGAGAATGCAGCCTGCAGTCTCCTGGCCAGGGCCTTGGATACCACATAGCACCATTGGCAGGTCCCGCAAGAGCTGGAGCTGAAAGGTTCACAACAGAGGTAGCAAAAGGCATTGCTTGAGGCATTCTTAAAGTCTTGGAGTTTTGGAGGTTTATTGTTTTTGTGACGGATTTGCTGGGATTGCTTGAAGCAGAGGTGGGCACCACCAGTAGCAGAACATGCTGCTCAGTCCCTCTCCAATGTAAGGAGCCTCAAGGTATGGCGAAAGGGATGGGTCATTTCTCCCATCACAACGCCGAGATGGGTGGAGTTTTGCACCTTTCGTCGTCTTGCGATCTTGTGTGCTTGTGAAAGCAGGGTGTCACCAAGGTGGCCTCTCATGCTGCATACATGTGTGGAGCCAAGATGAGCCAAGCGCACTGTCACACGAGCAGAGCTTGAGCAAAGCCTTGAAGATCTTGGAGCAAAGCGTTGGAGCAAAGCGTTGGAGCAAAGCGTTGGAGCAAAGCGTTGGAGCAAAGCGTTGGAGCAAAGCGTTGGAGCAAAGCCTCGCCAGTTCCAAGCCTTGGAGCAGCTGCTTTCATCTCTGTGCAGCTGAGATTGGCTGAGAGAGAAAGCTGAGGCAGCTTCGGCTTCTTTTCGTGAACCGAGAGAATTACTGGTGGGGTCGACAGGCTGAGGCCACCAAGCCGCCTTTCTGTGCTGTGCCGGCTTGTGCTGACGTAAGCAAAGGAAACGTGTCAATAAGGACCAGGTGTTCAAGTATCGATCCTGTGTTACTTCACCACTTTGAGATTATGAAGGCCTGAAGTTGGCATATGTTGGCATAGATACACCTATGGGCCTATGGACAGCAAACAAGCCCAGGAAGTGATACACGGAGATCACAAGTCATCTAGTTTCGTTTCCCCGCATGCTCTGCAGAGTCACCTTTTCCCTGACTGCATACTGCTGTTCTTAGGTGACTCCCACGAGCTGCTGGCTGGATCTCATGCAGGTGAGTCGAGCCAACAATCTGTTGAATCTGTTGGATTGGATGGACAATGTTTTCTCCCCAGCTAGTTTGGGTCAGTTGTAATCCATAGCCTTCATGACAAGGCACTGGAACATCACCTTGATGTTCACCATATACTTGGACACCGCAGATGTGCATTCAATTTTCAATGTTGATGAGTCAGCAGCATTGGCGTCAATTGCATAAATGCATGTTCACAGTGATCACAGCAATCTGAAGGGAAGTTCCTTAGATGTATGACCAAGTACAACCTCTGGACTTCACGAGACAGGTGGAATGGTCAACATTGTGATCGTGACCACTGTCAGCATGAGTGTCACCATGGATAATCACCATCACCATCACCACCACCATCATCATCATCATCATCGTCATGGTCAACACTGCCCCGAATCTTGTCCCAACAGATCCCACAAATCCAAAGAGATCCCACCCAATCTCAAGACTCTGCTTTGCTATAGCAGTCCCAGATGTTCCAGAGGCAGCGGTGAATAGCGCGATGGAATCTCCAGCAGCACGACCTGAGAGGTGCCTTTGCATGCCTTTGCATCCATTTTTATATGATCCATTGACCCTTTGGCTGGCAATGGGGGACCAGTTGACTAGTGCGACTGCACCTGCAAGTTTGAAATCCTATGGAAATTAAAGGGCTTACGCCCCCTGCCGCCGACCCCAGATTCACTCCAGTAGTATCGACAATGTGCCGAGCAAACATTTGTAGCATTTTTATCATGAGAACTGAGAACAGATATTTTGTTGCAGTGGTTGTGTTGCTGAGTTGTTGTGCGGTTGTGTGGTTTTGTGGTGGCTTCGAAGGCAACGTTTGATTTATGTATGATTTGTAGTTAGATAGGATTCCGTTGACGAAGAGCATTGAACCGCACCAAAAGCCTCAATTCGCCGCATAGCCGAACTACATTACACGCAGACAAATAATGGAAAAACAACGAACTGAACATATGAACCAACTAGATGGATTTTGTGTTTCGAATCTGTTTTTCCCGATTTCACCCGGATTGTGCAGACAAATGCACTTCCAGTTTTGATGCCACAGAGTGAACACCAGCTCCAAAGTGCAGCTCCCATGCCCTCTCAAAGCAGCTCCACAGCGACCTCCCAGCGGGCGGTTGCGAAACAGCAAAACACCATGGCACTGAAGGATGGAAGCGGCGCCTAGCAAGCAGGCTCCAGTGCCTAACGTTGCCTTCTGAGCCGACAAGAAACTAGCTCCAAAGTGCAGCTCCCATGCCCTCTCAAAGCAGCTCCACAGCGACGTCCCAGCGGCCGGTTCCGGCAAGCAGGCCAGTGCCTAACGTTGCCTCCTGAGCCAACAAGAAACCAGCTCCAAAGTGCAGCTCCCATGCCCTCAAAGCAGCTCCACAGCGACCTCCCAGCGGGCGGTTGCGAAACAGCAAAACACCATGGCACTGAAGGACGGAAGCGGCGCCTAGCAAGCAGGCTCCAGTGCCTAACGTTGCCTTCTGAACCGACAAGAACCCAGCTTCAAAGTGCAGCTCCCATGCCCTCAAAACAGCTCCACAGCGACCTCCCAGCGGGCGGTGGCGAAACAGCAAAACACCATGGCACTGAAGGACGGAAGCGGCGCCTAGCAAGCAGGCTCCAGTGCCTAACGTTGCCTTCTGAGCCGACAAGAAACCAGCTCCAAAGTGCAGCTCCCATGCCCTCTCAAAGCAGCTCCACAGCGACGTCCCAGCGGCCGGTTCCGGCAAGCAGGCCAGTGCCTAACGTTGCCTCCTGAGCCAACAAGAAACCAGCTCCAAAGTGCAGCTCCCATGCCCTCAAAGCAGCTCCACAGCGACCTCCCAGCGGGCGGTTGCGAAACAGCAAAACACCATGGCACTGAAGGACGGAAGCGGCGCCTAGCAAGCAGGCTCCAGTGCCTAACGTTGCCTTCTGAACCGACAAGAACCCAGCTTCAAAGTGCAGCTCCCATGCCCTCAAAACAGCTCCACAGCGACCTCCCAGCGGGCGGTGGCGAAACAGCAAAACACCATGGCACTGAAGGACGGAAGCGGCGCCTAGCAAGCAGGCTCCAGTGCCTAACGTTGCCTTCTGAGCCGACAAGAAACCAGCTCCAAAGTGAAGCTCCCATGCCCTCAAAGCAGCTCCACAGCGACCTCCCAGCGGGCGGTTGCGAAACAGCAAAACACCATGGCACTGAAGGACGGAAGCGGCGCCTAGCAAGCAGGCTCCAGTGCCTAACGTTGCCTTCTGAGCCGACAAGAAACCAGCTCCAAAGTGCAGCTCCCATGCCCTCTCAAAGCAGCTCCACAGCGACGTCCCAGCGGGCGGTTCCGAAATCCGATTCCGAAACAGCAAAACACCATGGCACTGAAGGACGGCTAGCAAGCAGGCTCCAGTGCCTAACGTTGCCTTCTGAGCCGACAAGAAACCCTGTCTGTCTGTCTCTGTCTGTCTGTCTGCCTGTCTGTCTGTCTGCCTCTGTCTCCGGCGCATTCTTCTCCGGCGCGCTCCCCCAGCATCCGGCTGGGGTCGGCGGATATTTCAAGTCTCTACCGATTCTACAGATGCTGTGAAGAGGCACAGGGTGGACGAACAACACACAAAGCAAGCACTACTTGTGGCACTGGGTTACTTGAGTTAGCAAGCAAATAGAATCAATAGAAGCATGTGGCCCCCATGTTCTGAAGCAAAGGCAGATGCTCTGTTTGTCTCTATCTCTGTGTTTTTGTCCTCGCGCATGATTTGCAGCACCGTATTTTTCTTTGACCTCTGCAGCCTCTGCACATGGTATTATGATGTATTGTGGTGTTTACTCAAAAGCGGCTCATGCAAGAAGTCAGGTACGGCCTGCCCGCCGCAGCGAATCCGCACGGACTGTGGCCGCAGCCTTGCATCTCCCAGCGTTCTGGCAAACTTGTGCCCATGATGTGGAAGTGCTTGCACGAACTGTAACTGAAGTCACAACTCGGCAGCCAGATATGTTCGAACATGTTGTGATTTGTTGCTATGTTGTGGTTTGGTCATATTTGGTCTTGATTGTCTCAGTTTCCGATTTCTTGACTGACAAACCATGGTCGTACCATGTTTTTTTCATGTTGTTTCTATGCAATTGACAAAAGTAATGAGATGTAGCACTTCATGAACATCTCCAGTCTTCACTGTCTTTCCAATCCGGGAAGCTATTTGCCTGGCCCAAGCTAGCACCATGGCCATGCACTTCGCATGTGCCAGGAGCCTCTCCGGCTTCTTGACAGCCGTGCGAATTGATGGACTTGAAGCACGGCGCCCAGCGTGAAAGCAGTCCGTGAAGCCTCCGGACACCGAACCAGCTGCAGGAGCTTGCATGGTAGCTGTTAGACAGCTCAGTTCCCAAGATGATCAAAATAGATCGAAACAGATGTACAGCAGCTCAGCAGAGTAAGAAAAATTGCAGGACGTGCGTGACTCCAAGAAGGCCACTCTTGGTGAAGAGATCCAAGAGGCCATGTTCGGCCATGCAGAAAGTGTCTCCACAACTGGGGATGCAGTTGGGAATTCAACAGCTGCTGGATGCAGTTGGCTCGTCTGAGAGGGAGCCAGCCATTGGTCGACTTAGAGTCCTCCAGCAGCGACTTCTTGGTGGCTCCAGGTTTCCTCTCAGACAGTGAGAGCGATAGCAATTCAGGTGATAGATGCCCATCAAGCTGGTGAATGCCGTCCTTGTCGTTTCTTCTGGTTCAAAAAGGAGGGGTGCATCTTGGGCTAATTTGCGCGAGATGTGCAAGTTTTGCCAGCGCTGTGGGAAGGAGCCAGCTCGTGAAGCCAAGCTGAAGGTGAAATATGAAGTTGGAAGACCCAGGAGGCAGGCAGGAATTTGCACATAGATCCCTAGGGCCGAGAGTCTATGGTTATGGCCGATGATGGGAACCGGTGACATCACGAATCTGGTCCTTTCCGAAGCGAGACTCTTATGACTCTTAATTACATCTCTCCCAAAGGCCGGGAGTGCACAGAGCAAACGGTGCAAGCGAGAAAGACGTGAATCCTTTACTCAGTTCGCTCCCACCCTTTATGAAGTTTGCGTCGTTTGCGAGTTGTCGGTGGGGCAAAAACAAGTGAACTATTGGGCTTTGTTTCCAACAAACCCCTAAAATCATAACATGCAGTGTGCATCAGTGTGCCATGTTCAGAGTTTGGCCCTTTCAAAGGAGAATATATCTATTTTATTCTAGTTTCATCTCGTTCTCTTGCGTGTGAGACACAGCGAGGGAGGGGCCACAAGAAAGATGTATTCTGATAGCATTGTGAAGGGGATTGCTAAACCGAATCATATTGAATCTATTATAATCTATTATATATATATATATATATATAGTACCAATCATCTTTGCAAGATTTGCTGACGATGTTTGGCTAATGACTTCTTTGTTTCCTTGGTGTTTATGAAATGTTGTGTTTCGTGCTACCAAAAAAACTGTGCACTGCTCTCTTGCAGAATCCTATGACCCTACGTGATTTGAATACAACTCACAGCCCCAGGCAGGCGTTTCATAAGACGTGCAAAGTCGATGGAAAACACTGCGACTTTGAAGCTACCAGAAGAAAGTTGATAAAGTTGGCTGAAACTTACACCATCCCAGCCTTGAATTCAATATAATTCAATACAATTTATATAATCAATTTACCAATCGAAAGTTTAAGTCCGACAGTCTTGTATCATTTTATATCCCCCAAGGCTTGAGTTTGGTGTCGGCTCTGGGAAGACCACAGCTGTTGGAAGCTCAGCATTCCGCGTGGCCCGTGCCACGCTTTGCGGATGCATTTCAAAGCCCAGCTGTCGGGGAGTAATCCGAAATGATCATCGGGATTCATCCGGTATTGGGTAAGGTATGGTAAGATCATGTAATGTGAACTCATTCTAAAGTGGATCTACATGGGTTGGTTGGTTTGGTCCTTGTGTAATCATTTGAGTAATACATGATCATCAGTCACAAAATTCCATTTAAGGATATTTAAGGTGATTGCATCACCAAAATCAATCCAATACAATCCAATGTAATCCAGAAGTCGCTGTTGCTAAATGTGGCTGGTTCCCAGCCCTTCAAAGCCTCGAAGCGCAGCCAAGCATGGCATGACCGTTGCCAGCACGAAGTTTCATTCTGCTTGTATGGCAGTTGCAGGAAGAGTTTAGGATCAACATGAATTAAGAATAGTATAGTAGATGTAGTAACTTTGATTTAATTTTGATGGGAAAATGAGTGTAAACCATTGAAAACCATCAAGTTTAGGGGTTCCCTACTTTCAAAATCTTTCACAGGAACCCCAAACTTGTATTTTAGAACTTGGAAATTGTGAGAAACTTCGAGGACACATTCTCTTGCATCACCGAGGCCATTGCTTTCCAGATGCAAGCCCTGGTTGGGCAGGTCATCCTTCAGATGTGTCGAGCATTTCCGTTTCGAGCACAATGATTCTCTGAATCAGTTGTCGTGGAGGTTCCCAAAAAGAAATAAAATACATCATAATGTATCCATAGCATGAAATTGCAAAAGTCAGCATATGTTAGCATACTCGTGTAACCCGTGCGCTGCCCTAAGAAATGAGTGGGTGGGCCTTGGCACCCCATCCTTGAAGGTTATCGAATATGTTTGGGGCTCTTCCCAACTCTTTCACCGCCACAGCCAGGCTGCCAAATTGCATGGGTTTGATTCCTTTCAGGCGCATGTTTTTGAAGTTTTTATCATGTCTTATCAATGTTTCTGTGTTTCGGTTTGCTCTGAGATGTCAGACAGGATCCTATGCAGTCAGCGTCGCTAAAGTACAATGACACCCGGCATGGAATGACTTCCTTCAGAGTTGCATGTCTTTGCTTCGAAGACCTCACACATGAGTCTCTGCAGCTGGCAGCAATGGAATGGTCTACAGATGTCCACAGGGTGATCTTGAAAAATCAACCGCATCCACCGTTCAGGGATTACCTTCTGACTGGGATCATACGCACTTGGCAGCTGGAACCTTCTCAACTGGTGGACAGGCGTGGGATTTTCCTGGGGCCTGGGATATTGTTCTGTTATTGTTATCATTATGATTCATTATATAAAATTATTTATACAACATTATACATTGCATTTTGATAACCGCAACTGCTACCCTTCCCAGCGCGGAGATCCTTCCAAGACAGGGTTTCTTGATGTTTATTGACAGACCCAGCCACTTCATGCGATTTTTACATTTTACGAAGTCAACAGCGATTCGTTCCGCTTTGGATCTGACCTGTAAGAATCGATTTCACAGTCAGAAGCTTCGCCATGCAGAATGAATCCGTTGGCCAGCCTCAGTAGGTCTCGGAGGTTGGTGGTTTCCACCTGATCTCGCATGGTGCAGGTTCCGCCACACTTGCTGGAAATGAAGAATGCGTGGATCTCGGAATCCGTCGTCAGGCATGCAGCTTCGACTATTTGGGAGGTATATTAAACGTAGAGGACAAGTAGTGGTTCCCCACAATTTTGCCAGACATGTGGGTGTTTAATTCGGGGGAGTGTATTTATCCTACTAGTATGTTGACATTAATCATAATAATATATTATATTACATAGTCGATTCGGTCATCCGACATATAGAACCCCATCCCAGCTGTGTGCATACTGGTAGGATATTGAAATTGTACATAACAATTATGTAGACACAATTAGGGATAGATCCCCCAACTCTGACTCAGTCCATTTGTTCAAAAAGTAGCCCCAGATTACAAACCTTTTCCTCCACTCCTTTCCTGTATCTTTACTCTTTCTTGCCTCGTTCCTTCCTCTTTCTCTTTTCGTTCTCTCTTCGTTCTTTCCTCGTTCTTCATTCTCGATTTCCTCTCTCCCTTTCCCCTTTTCCTTTCCTCTTTTCCTTGCCTCTTCCTTTTCTCTTTTTGTCCTCTTCCTGTCCTCTTGCATTTGGTCTTACATGAGTGTTGCGTGCTACGACTACCCCTCGTTATCTGAACGGCGACAGCTCCAATGTACAAACAAAACATCTGTTACATACCGTATTATTTATATTCATTTTTATTATTTTATTTACATTTACTTGTATTTATTTATGTTTATTTATTTTTATTTATATTTGTTAAGATTATCCCCGTTGGAATATCCTCTAGGAAATGGTGACCCTGGGGGTCGCCATTTCCTAGAGAGCACGATTTTATGGGTTGCCCATTTCTATGCAAGTGCATTCTTTAGAGACATATTGGTCGCTATTTGACCTGATCTGGTGGAAGTGCGGGGTTCCATTTTCTAGATTTCGGGGTTATCATCTGGGATCACCTCTAAATTTACAATGTCCCATTCTTTAGACACCAGTTGTGTGTTTCCAAAAAAAACGAAGTTCCATTTTTTAGAGCTCACTGGTTCAATGACATCAAGGTGTATGCCCTGGGGACCTCCATTTTTTAGAGCTCACTGGTACAATGACAAGGGGTATGCGCTGGGGCCCTCCATTTTATAGAAAAAACGTGCGGAAACACTGGCATATTATAAACATGTAATATCATATGTAATATCAAATCATAATTTATATAAAATATGTACATCTAATTATGTTGTATTTGTTATGTTTTTTTGTCATTATTTCAGATTTTCCCAAACTCTTCTGTGCCAATGGCTCAAAGATGTTCAAAGGATTTCAAAGATTGTCTCAAACCTTTCATGTTTCATATGTCAAATCAAGAAATTCACGTGGCAAAGCTCAATCAAGAACGCGCTCACGGGGTCAGAGTGCCAGAGCTATGCCGCCACATCCTACCCCTGATGCTTGTGAGACTCTGCAGCAATATGTAGCAACAAATAGGTCCCATTATGGATCCTTTTTTTAAATATATTTTTATGATTTTTTATGATTCTCTTTAAACCTTGATGATTCTTGACGAGAGTTTATGATACTTCAATAGATTTTTAATACTATCTTTGGAATTCTTTGGCAATCTTTAAAACATTTTTTCAAAAATGTTTTCATGCTGTGGTCCTTCCATTTTTTAGAGAATGACAGGATAATATGCTGAAGGTTCACCATTCTATAGAGACAAATTTGGATCAAATTGTTGGTATAACCATTCAACATCTGTGTGGCTTCCAGAAAAACATACAGTGATGAGATGTGATGAGTAAAAATTCCGTGGCCCCTGCTGCCGGCCAAGGCTATTTGGGGATGCGTTGAAGGTGTTGAAGCTCCGGGCTGGGTGCCCTCACGTGGTGCCTGGGGTGCCTTGACCATAAGCAGGCAATCACATAGATCGGTTTGTTATGTCATGTTATGTCTGTGGTCTGACTTGTGCCAATTTCATCCCCTCCATCTCATTTGCACCAGATTGGAAACCGAGTTGGCCGGTGCAACATGAGAGGGAAGAACAATCGGATCTCCCATCACCAGTACTTTTGCTACCCGCCACTTGTTTGCACACTCAGCTACAGCTGGTACAGGGTAACACAGCTGATGGCTTGGTTTGATATGACGCTTTGTTTCAAAATGTTTTGGATATGTTTGGGATTGTTTGGATGACCTTTGTACCCACCAGATCCCACGGGTATGAGCCACCGCCCGCTGGAGGGGTGGAGCGCAATGGAGCTGGACCACTGTGCTGAGCCGTGATTGCCCAAGAACAGGAGGCAATGCCACTCGACTTCAGAGGAGTTGGAAGTGGTGGGGGGATGTGAGCCTGCTGAGATTTGGTTTTAGAATGTTTTAGAATGTTTTAGTATTTTTTAGAATGTCTTGGAATGTTTTAGAATGTTTTAGAGTAATGAAAGCTGCAAAACAGCTAGAATACAAATGGGTAAACAATGAAAAACAATGATTAACAATGATTAACAAAGCATTTGGTGTGACCAGGTGTGGTCAGGAAGGCAAAAGGTCATGTCCGGCTTGCAGCTGCACAGTTTCTGACGTCCTTTAGTGTTTGCGAGTGATTGCCATGGCCATGCGCTGGTTTCTATTGCTAGCTTGGTGCTGCACCATCCTCCAGTCATGCTTGGCAGTGAAGCTGCCAGCCTTGTCTGACGATACAACGTGTTCAGTGCCTGAGGAGCAGTATCTTGGCATCATAGGCTAGTGTCTCTACAAAGATCTACAAAGCTTATAAAATGGCACCCCAGGGATTGTCCCTAGATCTCTCACTCTATAAAATGGCGCCCCTGGGGTCATAGAAAGACTTTCCCTTGTCCATACCATGGAGCCCCAGGGTCTGCCGGGGTATGCAGCTTGTTCTGGAGGATTCTGGAGGCATCTTTAGACAATGATAAAAGAATATAAAAAATGATGCAAGTGTGACCTGATGATTCCTGCCGTTCTATAGAGGGAAGAGTAGGAGAGGACATTCTGGGGTGTGATTATTTAGTAAGGTATAGTTGGATATAGGTGGTATATGTAGGATGGTGTGGGATGATGTGGACAATTGTATGTAATTGTACCAAATTGATTGACAATTCTATACAACTCTATAGTTCACTGTAGGTGACATGGTTTGTGATCCCACATGGCTTCCCAGATGGTTCCATGCCGAAGAACATTTCCCAGAGAGTTTGGCCTATGCCCGGGCTTGGACTGGCGCACGTGACGCCAGCGTGCTAGATGCCTTTGGTTTTTCTGCACGGATGGCGTGCCTCAGGAGAATGGTTTTATTTTATATTATTTTGATTTTATTTTGTGATAGTTTTATATTTATTGAATATTATTGAATTATTTTGATTATAATTGTTATTACATAGTGTTACATATTGTTGCTTTCCAATCCACTGTGGCCACGGCGTCGCCTCTATATACATCTTAGGAAGCAATGGACTTGCAGTGGCAGGAAAGCACTTATCTACGATATCAAGGTGTGTCGCTCCCATGATATGGTGACACGCCGTGGATTTTATGTGTTTTTGGAGATGGCCTTATCGTTCCTTGGATTTCGTGGAAGTGTGTGACAAGGTGTGGCCAAGATATTTCTGATATTTTCTGACATTGGTTTGAAGTGGTTGCTATATTCTGACCAGGAGGGTTTCCGGCTGCCTCCCCAGCGTTTCAGGTAATACTGGATTAAAACATATTAAAGCCATATAAATCATTAGAAATCATTAGAAATCCATATAGAACCTCAAGAAAAAAAACGGTGTCAGAACAAAGCTTTGCCAAGGTTGGTCCCGCAGGGGCTACTGGTGGGAGGGCCACCATGTAGCCTCCTAGTGGGAGCCAGCGCTTCAGTCCACAAGAGGACTTGTCACAATCCTGAAGGCTCTCTTGAGAATTTTAAAGTCCGATTATCAAATCGGATATGGCGGAATTTCGCTGCTTGGCACACTGAGGCTTCCTGTTCCCCAAAGGTTTGATTGTCGATTATCACAGGTTCTATCTATTTTCTATTCTATAGAAGCTTGATCGATCTTATTTCATCAGGCTTCCATTTTTTAGAGACTGGATTGAATGGCAATGTACCTGGTTCCATTCTATAGAGAAACCTGTGCACACCCCAAGCAGTCATAAGATGTCATAAGTATTCCACAACCAAGCAAGCAGTCATGGTATTGTATTGGATCTAAGGCCCAAGCCATCCGCATTCTCATGAGGGCAAACCGTGATGTTCTCTACATGGTGGAACAGCCTGCCCAGTCATGGGGATTCAAGACACCATGGATGAGAGGAATTGCACGGTTGGGTTGCCTGTGACTAGGCACTGTCAGCCCCACTGCCTAGCTGTGCCTTAGTGTGCCCCACTGCGTCAATCTGAGTATTTCTGAGTCAACTTATTTTTAATATTATATAATATTTATGATTATTTATGAATATTTGTGATTATTTATGTCTATATATATATATATATATGTCAATTTCATATTCATTTCCAGTAGCGTCAGGATCCATCAGGATCCATCAGGTATCTTCAGGATTCGTCGGTTTTTTTTATGCCTCATTGAAAAGCTTTAGGGATGCTTGGGGCATGTTTGTGGCCCAGGTTCACAGTGCTCACTTACATGGGCATGTTCCAGGCTGACCTTTGCAAACCCACCCATTTATTGACAAACTTGCCGAAGCTTGGCCAAAGACTGGGGTTGGATAGGTTGGATGGATTTGGAATGATTTAGATGATTTTGGAATATGTTGGAATATTTTGGATGATTCAAGAAGATTCAAGAAGTATATTCAAGTATATTCAAGTCTTTTTAGAATTCATCAATTACATACAATTGTCCACATCATCCCACACCATCCTACATATACCACCTATATCCAACTATACCTTACTAAATAATCACACCCCAGAATGTCCTCTCCTACTCTTCCCTCTATAGAACGGCAGGAATCATCAGGTCACACTTGTATCATTTTTTATATTCTTTTATCATTGTCTAAAGATGCCTCCAGAATCCTCCAGAACAAGCTGCATACCCCGGCAGACCCTGGGGCTCCATGGTATGGACAAGGGAAAGTCTTTCTATGACCCCAGGGGCGCCATTTTATAGAGTGAGAGATCTAGGGACAATTTTTATATTCACCGATGTTTCATTATCTTTCAAACTATTTGGTGGGTTCTTTGGATTTGTTATGATTGTTGTTGGGCCCCTTCATGCCCCCCTATGACTGGCATAGTGGTCGTACTGGCAGGACAGCTCGCAAGTTGGGGCGACGAATGACAAAGTCTGCCAGGGAGAAGATCAAGGACACCGAGCTGCACTTGGGGGACGCCATTCTATAGAAAGTAAGCAAGATCAATGGCCCCAGGCCTCCATTTTATAGGCTGATCTTGACTGTTTCGGATAGTTGCAGCATGTTGCAGTACATGTCGATATTTGCAGCCGATTGCAATGAGGCCCGCCTGCAAAGACGCAACCAGAAGAGAAAGAGACCTAGAATTTACCATCAACGGGTTGTGAGGCCGGATGGTTCAACGGGCTGGCAAGGTGGAAAACACCTTCCCCTGTCGGCCGCATATACGTCTAGGTTTTGCCAGGCGGTTTTTTCTGTGTGGTTGAGCCACATTCAGGCCATGGAAGGGCCAGCAGGGTCATAGGCTTCAATAGCCCATCAATGTATGGCAGCTGCTTTTGACCAGCCATGTCTGGCGTTTAAGAGTTCCATGGTACTTTGTTTGTTCCCACGCACAGTGCGTTGTAGTGCTGCATCCTTTGGGCTGCTGTGCTCAGTAGTGAAGATTGCTATGAGCTTGAGCAGCTCCAGTTGATTGTGATTGACATCGTGCTACCTTTGGAGACGATGCTCTGTTCATCTGAGTTTCATTTCGTCTAGCTGTACAGAATGATTCTACTCTCGGGATGTGGAAAAGATGGTCTAATGATGTCTAATGAATGTCTAATGATGTCTAATGTCTAATCTGGGCAAGGGATGAGCGTCATGTAGCGGGTCGTGGGATGTCGTGGATCCAGAAATGGGTGGGAGATGTTGGAATGCAGAGGTTTCCATGTAATAGGCTGCTCCAGATCTAGTAAATGCTCCTGGAATCTCCTGGTATCTCTTGGAGAGTCATTGAATGTGGCTCATTTTGCATGTCCTGTGCCAATTGACGCTGTGTTTAGGTTGCAGACCTGGAAGCTGAAGCTCTAGTAAATTTTCCAGAAGAAGGTGGAGGCGGTGGTGCAGTGCCTGGTGCTGCATCATCATGAGCCCTTGGTACCATGGTCTTCCATTTTTTAGATGGCGAAAATGGCGGTAGGATAGTCAACCATATTAAACCATATTAAACCCATAAATCCCAACACTATCCAACAAATACATACAAATACAATCAAATACATGCAAATACCATCAAAATCCATCAAATACCATCAAGTACCATCAAATACAATGATATCCAGATATATCCAGTATATAATCATGCCTCTGTTTGTAGGACCCTCGGAGGTTCCATTCTATAGAGATTGGGGTTCCATTCTATAGAGATTTGTTATATTTTGTTATGATATGTTAGTCTGGTCATGTCTGGTCCATCCATTCTGTCTAGAGCTTGGGGTTCCATTCTATTGCCCCACCCACCCTTTTTACTTAATCCAGAGGGAAATATTATTCCATATTATTCCCCAATATGCCAACTGTTTGCTTAGGTGTCAGATGGCGACAATGCCGATCCTCTGCCTTTGCCAGCACCAGATCTTCCGCAAGAGCCTGCGGCAGGAAGTGGTGATGGGGTGCCTTGTGCTGCATTCTCGTGGGGCCTTGGTACCATGGTCCTCCATTTTTTAGATGGCCATAGATAATGGATGATGGTTGTTGATGATGGTATTGTCATGTATTGCATTGTATTGCCATGTATAGTCCAAAGATACCCATTAAATCCCGTTAAGATCTCTTAAATTCCAACAATAACATACAATATCCAAATATATCCAATAAATACATATAACATCATTTAAAATAATTATAAATACATTAAAAAAATCATAAAAAATACCAATAATATCCAAACATATCGAAACAAAAATATCCAAACATATCGAAACAATATATATATATAATCTATATATATATATATATTCCCCAAAATGCCAACTGTTTGCTTAGGTGCCAGATGGCGACAATGCCGATCCTCTGCCTTTGCCAGCACCAGATCTTCCGCAAGAGCCTGCGGCACGAAGTGGTGATGGGGTGCCTTGTGCTGAATTCTCGTGGGGCCTTGGT